TAATGCTTTAGTCACCCAAGGTAGCTAGGGATGTTTGATCTAAGGTTAACATCCCATAATAGTGTCGTCGTTTCAAGTGTTTCTAAAATAAGTAGTCCATTTCGCATTTATCAGGTGGGATTCACATGTCATTTGGGGGTATCTTGTATGTAGCACTTGGTTCATGGATTAAGCATAATAAAGTTGAATTGTTGAAAGCTATATTGGTGTTGACGTAGGTTTATTTGAAACATCATTTTAAAAAGTATTTATTTCAAATTAATCTTAAATTCTTTTTAATATTGGTAGTAGAATAAAGACTATAAAATCATGAATAATCTTTGATGGACAAAGATCAATGATACTAAACAAAAAACATAAACTGAAGCAACAGAATGTGATAAATACCAAATTTAGACACTGACAGCAGGGAAATGTTATAACAAACATGAAAACCGGACAAATGATAATAATAAAGATGGGCGATAATTACAAGGATGACGACAAAAATGATGAGGATAAAGATGATGAAAATAATTCTACCATGAATGATGATATGACAGAGGATGTAAATTGATGGTTAATACAAGAATGTATGGTCACATACTGTACATAACCATGATTTGTACATCCTTACCGAAAATGCCGGAATGTATCGTCACATGACAAAATATACCTGTATTGTCACATGATAATACATACCTGTATCATCACACGACAGCTAACATATTTAATACACCTTGTTTCATATGAATACAACCACCATGCAAATATATCCATGCTACTGTTATTACAATAATGATTAATCATATGTATCAACATATGATACACCAGTGGCGGACCGTCAAGCAAGCAAGGTACGCAGTGCACACCCTGGCTAAAACAAATAGAGTAGTAATAAATACCTAAAATAAAAAATATAGTAGTACAGTTTCTCCATTTTATTGAGCATTTCCTAGTCAGAATCTTCTATATAAACCTTAATTAGATTGCCACAGTTCATTGGAATAGCAAAGTTTTTCAATGTTTGGCCTACTTTGCTAAGATAAGTCACAGTCGGGCCTATCGCATCGTACTCTCAGCTGCTTAGAATTTCCGCATGGCTGGTTTTCAGTATCAGCCAATCATGTATTCAGTGAGTCAATGGGTCAGAGAATACCCTACAATGCTTAAATTTGCTATCGTGACAACCGTGTGGTAGCGTCAAAGTAGCCAATTTAAAACTGGAATGGAAGTGGTGCTTCCAAGTGTATGTGCGCATGCTCTTCTCACAAATGTGGACCTCCGCTGTCGATCGGGTATTCTATCTATAGGCCTGGTATAAAAGAAACTTGAAATTTGAAATTTGTTAAAAATCTTTTTAGGAGAAGATGCTACAACCATGCCGGTGTTAAAAACAGTGGCAGTGCCAGG